TCGAGCTATTTAAAGCCTCTATTATTCTTCTAAATTCGTTTAATATCATCGTAAGATTTATAATCTTCTTTAAGGCTACTTAATGCCTATAAAATAAATTAAAGATTATTCTATTCTTAAATAAAATCTAGCTTCGCTTATTTTTATTTACTTTATTATATTTATATTAGTCTTTACGTTAATTAGCGTATTAGCTTTTAAATATATCTTTTAAATCTTAATTTTATCGTTAAATTCGTCTATTAAAAAGATATAAACTTTTTACTATAATATTAAGTCTTATATTTATAAAAGTACTTATAAGTCTATTACTCGAGACGAATTTATTTAAAAAGCTTTTAAAGGCTTAAAGCTCTTTTTATAGCTTCGAGATTTTCTTTTTTACTTATCTCTTATTAGATATTTTATATAACTAATATAGATAAAGCGTCTCGATAATAATATGAGATTCCTAGTATTAATTATAATTATCTATTTTTAAATATTACTTATAGTAAATATAATTATCTATTAAAATGAGTAGATAAATTCTCGAGTAGCTTAATATCTATTATTTATATCTTCTCTTAATTAATTATTAGTATATTCTAAGCTTCGAATACTTAATCTACTTTATAAAAAAGAGTTTTATTAACTTAGTTCGATATTAATTTAATAAATAGATCTTATACCTCGTAATCTCAGAGAATTATATCTATAATAACTATTTAAAGAATTATCTTTATTAAATATAAACTAAATCTATATAATAAAGACGAGGCCGAAGCCTCTATTAACGAGTATTTTCGCTAGCGATTTATTTTTAAGACTTAAAAAGTAGATAGATTTATTTCTTATATCGACGCTAATACCTTCGCTATACGCTTTTATTTTCTAGTAATAATAGCGCTATCTCGATTTAATATTAGATCTTATCTTATTAACCTAAGATCTAATAGTATATATAAGCTTATATATTATTTTATAATAGATATATATATATATTAATACGACGAACGAGCTTCTTCTATATTTAATATAAAAGAGTATTTAAAAGCGAGGTTCTTTTAGATCGATAAGTTAATTACTCTCTCTAATTAATATATATTAATATCTATAATAAAGGTAATTAATATCGTAGTAAAATAATAAGTATTTTAAAAGAATTATAAGCTATAAGACTTTATTAATAAACTCTTTATAAGTAAAAAAAGATAATTAAATCTTATTAATAGAATTTAATATATCGATAAATAAATTACTTAGAGTTTAACGATTCTTCTCTCGAGTAAATCTAAAGCTAAAACTCTTTCTATATTTACTTTTATATCTAGCGATATAATTAATATCTAAAATAATCTAATTATTAAAAACTTCGAAAGAGATAATATAATATAGGCTTTTTTAATTTTAAATATTATTTACGTATTATTATTTAAGAAAGAATTAGAAGATAATATAGAACTTAGAGAGTTAAAGCTTATATCTTCTTATAAAAATTAATTAAAAGTTAAGAAAGAGAGGAAATTTATTAGAATTAAGACGAAATCTAAGTAGAAAGAATAGAAGATTAAAGAAGAAAATAAGATTAATTCTAACTCTAAAATAAAGTCTTAATATTAATTATTTCGTATATTGCTAAGTCTATAACTTAAGCTAGATAAACTCGATAAGTATAAGATTATTATAATCTTAAACGACGATAAGAATAACTTTAAGTATATCTTAAAGAAGATTCTTTATAACGACGGTTTTATTAAAAAAGAAGAAGACTTTATTAAATAAGAAGAAGAAGAAGAAGAGTAAGTGAAATTAAAAGATATTCTTAATAAGAGTATAGATAAGAGTAAGGATAAGAGTATATAGAATATACTATAAGGCGATAATTTCGATTTTATAAGTAACTTATTCTATTTCTTAAGGATTCTTATATCGAATTTAATAAATTTAGAATCTTATTATAGACGATAGCCTTTCTTCTATCGAGATTATTATTATTTAAATTAATTAATAAGAAGTATATAGAAAAGAAGAGAGCGTTTTAAAAGAGTAGAAAAATAAATAGTAGAAGACTAGTACGAAGAATAGCTATAAGCGAACGACCTTTATTATTTATAAATAGTTATCTAAGAAGTAAACTAAGCTATTATCTAAAAAGACTTATAGATATAACTTTATATTATCGATTTAGTTTTAAATTAATCTATTAATATAGATTAACTATATAATTAATATATCGATATATAAAAGCGATATTATAATTTTCGAAGTATATATATATAGCCCTTAATAGTCTAATCTTCTATCTTACTTAATTCCCTTTTTAAAAAATCTTCTACTTCTCTTTTATTTACGATTAGAAGCTCTATAATAAATTAGTAATTTCGATATTACTAATATATTATTAGATATATATTAAAAGAGACTTATAAAGTATAAGTATAGATATATATTAAAAGAGACTTATTAAAGTATATTACTTTTATAGTAAATAAGATCTCTATTTTCTTAGTAAATTAATAGATAACCTTAGAAAATCTCGAATAACGTGTTTTTAAATAAATTAAATTTATTCGAAGTCTAGAAATTACGTTTATATCTTACTTTTTAGTATTTAGAAATTAATTATTTAGACTCTTATTATTTAATAACTACTTTATATAGAATTTATCGAGTACGCTCTTCTTATAATTTTATTTATAAAAGTCTTTCGAGATAGTATCGCGTTATTAATTAATCTCGCTATTACTATTAATAGCCTTAATTAATATTAACTATTTAATATCTCATAGAGAAAATTATTAATAATTATTTATTATTAATTTAAAGTTTAGTAATTACGATTCGAAAGCGATTTAAGAGATCTTAATTAATTAAATTATATTATTTTAATACTTTCTATCTTATAAAAATTATAAAATATTAAAATTAGAATAATTATTTCTATTATTTTAGAGTAAAATATCTCTTTAACTACTACTTTCTTATTTAATAATAATTCTTCTTTAAATTAAAGCTTCTTAACGCTTTAATAATATACTCGAAAAAAGAATTATAGCGAATCTAAAAAGTATAATATTACTATTACCGCCGTCGATATAAGAACTTCTTCTTCTCTATATAATAAAAATATATATTATTAAATTACTCTATAATTATATAACTAATTCTATAGCGAACTTTAAAGCGCTTAAAAGAGTAATATTTAAAGTATTTATTATCTTCACAACGCTTTAAACGATTAAGAGACGAGTATACTAGATAATTATAAAGAAATTATACTATTTATATATTTAATTGCTTATAGTACTTACTTACTTATAGTATTTACTTACTTATAATACTTACTTATTTATAATACTTACTTACTTATAATACTTACTTACTTATAATACTTACTTATAGTACTTATAATACTTATTTATTTATAGTACTTACTTACTTATAATACTTACTTATTTATAGTACTTACTTATAGTACTTATAGTACTTACTTATAATACTTATAGTACTTACTTACTTATAGTACTTATAATACTTACGTTACTATAGCGATATCTTAATATCTATAGCTTAATACTAAGCTACTACTCTTAAAGGCCTATAGTTTAAATTCAGCTATAGTTAAAAAACTTCTATAAAAAAAATGTAGGCTCTATTCTAAAGGACTATATTAATTATATAGTATATTCTAGATTATAAAGCTATTTTTCTACGACTATTCTAATATATATATATTATAAAGTATAAATATATATGCGATTTAATAGCCGGGTTTTTTATAAGTAATATTCTTAATTACTAGATTATATAGACTAGTTATTATTTCGAAGACTACTTTATTATATAAATTACAAATAAGAATTTAGTCTCTTAATATATCTATCTATATTAACGTATATCTTATAGTCTATATATATATATAGCTTTATCTATAAGTTATATTTATCGTAATAAGTAAATCTAACTACTATAGAGTAGATATAAGTATTAAATAAGATATTTATATACTAGTAGCTAAGCGAGCTTCTTTATTCTTAACTAATCTAGTATCTCTAATTTAAGATTATTTAATTTTAAACTTAAGTAATAAATAGTAATATATATTAATATTAAAGTTTATAAGTATAAAGCTTTTATAATTATTATAAAGTTATTATTACTAATTAAAGAATAAGTTATAGTTAAGATAGATAACTTTAAAACCTTTAATTAAATATTACTTCGCTAATATTAAGTTAATTTATATAATTTTAAATTCTAAATTACATTATAGAATACGCGCTATAATCTACACTCTTTAGAATCTAAATTAATTGCCTTAGTGTATAGTAATAATTTAGAATAAGCGAATATTAGAAAATCGAAAATCGAAAAATCGAAAAACGAAAAATCGAAAATGGATTTTCGGGTGGTTGACCCCCTGGTCGAAATGGGTTGCCGTAAATGCGGGCTTGCCCGACGCTCCGCCGGCCCTCTGCCTTCTCTCACCGAGAACATCTCTTACCGCTGGGCTCGTCGTGCTTAAAGTATCCTTCGCCTTCTTGCAATGCAAAGTGTAACAACCACAACAACATTTTTGCCAAGTGGGGAGCATTGCAGCGACCTCCATACAGACCGTGTTCCGGTAAGGGTGTTTATATCGCTCGTGTGAGTGACGTATACGAAACCCATGCTAATCTAGATATTCTTAGTTCCTCGCCCGTCAAGAATGTATTGCTGGCGATAACGCGGTGTTACGTAGGCGTCTCCTGTACGGGCGTACCGTACGGCGCAATCTCAACCCTGGTGGTGTGGGATCCTGGCACGCGTGCAGTCGGGGACGAGAGCCTTCGATGTGGCCTTGACGCAGCACCAGCGGGTGCTCAACCGGTTTGGCACGGCCAAAAAGGCCACGAGCATCTCGATGGAGGTCGACAAGGCAAAGTCCCTACGGGGCATCTCACACGTGGTTACTTACTGGCGGCTATGATGTCATACGCATTGGGGTGTTTCACGCCTTCTTGCCATGATCATTGGCCATGTTTCAGGCAATTCTTGCTCCCATCGATCCTCCGGCCGTCCCTGCCGACTCCGACGCGTCGAGCAGCAGCAGCGACGATTCGGATGCGTCCGATCCCTTTGCGAATTTCGACGAGGAGGGTAAAGCTGAGAAGGATAATGGAGATGAGAAGATAGGTGAGGAAGAAGGTGGGGAGGAGGATGAACGAGCTAGGGGTTTACCGGCGCCTCATGCGCGGCTAGGCTTCGGTCCAGTCATAGTCAATAACGTACTCGCTGGCTCTCTTCGCTATTCTTCCACGCCTGCCACCTCGGCTGCATCGCGGCAGCGTTCGAGCCCTCTTCCCATCTTCTCCGTTCCGCCGTGCGGCTTGCCGCAACTGTTGTCCGGTCACGGCGCGCCTTCGGATGCCTGAATCCCTCGCTGCGCCCTTCGCTCCCGTCGTGTTCCGCAAACGACGAGAATACGGAAGAGCTGATCTACACAGCGTCAACCAGACTTGGCTAGAGAAGGACTGGAAGGGGGGAAGGGATTACGGGCGGGAAAGCCTTAAGGCGAAAGAAACGGAAAAATGACCGGTGGACCGGTTTAGTCCTTGTGCGGGAAGGAATGGGAGTCTGAAGGGGAGGCGTTGGGATGGTGGTATTGATTGGCTGTCCAAGGGTTGAGTGATTGTATGCTGGTGGTTCAATGCTCGCCTACTGAGAAGCCGAGACGGGGTCCAGTTCTGCCCAAAGGATGGGCTTCAACCAAGTGTGCAGCCATCTTGCCTTCCCGGCGACGATGACGGTAGACCTCTTTTTCCTCCTTTCCTGAAGGTACCAGGTCCTGGTTTGGCCGCCGTGAGCATTTTCCCGAGGGCTACGGAAGCGTGGACATTGTTGATTCGAAATGCATTTGTTGTCGCCCCGAGATCCGTGGCAGATTCAAATAGGCTGGTCATCAGGGACCCTCTCGGCGCTGCGGCATAGGTCTTATATGAGGAGGAGGCGGGAGCAATCGCGAAAAAGGGGAAAAGAGCGACGACGACGACGACGAAGAAGGCGTTTGGCCCCAGCTCATGCACCACTAGCTCAGGCGGAAGCGGATCCAAGCTAAATTCAAAGAGCGATGCACATCCGATAGGGACAAAAAAGTCTCGAACGAACCGGCAACCCTTCTCAGCTGGTACGATCATCCAAACTTCACATGAAACAAGTAGGGTGAGCCTGGCGAGAGAAATTCGCATACATACATACACGGTAAGCACAGCGCCAACAGCTTCAATATGCTGCCGTGGATGCAGTGGATGAAACGAGGAGCAGGAGAGCCGTTGGTATTTTACTATTTGCATCAGAAGCGCAAAGGACACGGATGAAGCGATGGTTTGTTGTAGGTTGGATTGCCCGAAGTATGATCTGCGATTGCGTACGAACGGTTACGCTGGTCACTTATACCGCGGTAGTAGAGGAGGATGAGGGCCCTCTGGAGAGTAAACTCAGACGACCATGTGGGCGTCAAGGTTTGGAAAAAGGTTCACTAGGGGAAGGGAGGAGGTCTGGATGGAGGGGGTTCGGGGTTTGGGATTGATGGAGGGGGTGGAGATGAGGAATGGATGTGCTCTACGAGGGAAGAGATGGATGGATGCATAGCAGAGCTTTGGAACAGGCGTGCTTGGCCGCGGTGAGCGGCTGTCTTCTTACGGGAAACCGGCAGGCGAGCTGGAGGAAACTGTGGTTGCTTTGGTGTTGGCGTCGTTTCATTCACGCTATCATGGGTTCCAAGCCAACAGGATTGATTCGTCGAGACGTGAAGAGATAAGCCCCGCTGGTGAGAGGATCAAATGAATGCAACGTCTTTTGGGTAAGGTTGGCTGTATGTGAAGCCATACCATAACTACCGTCCGGTGGCGCGAACGATCCGACTTTCAGGGAAGAGGCCGATGGAAGATGAAGCGGTGAGGGGTGATTAATGGGATGGGATCGGCACGCGGAATAAGGAGCCGGCGGTGTTGGCGGTGGAGAAGAGAGTGTGTTCGCGGGTCAAAGGACTGGAAATAGAACGGCATAAGCTATGGATTCGTGAGGTGAGAAGGATATCTCGAGGATGAGCATCGCCGCAACTGGCCCAGACTACCGGTCCGCAAGCTCGAATCAAAGGATTCCGCAGTCCGCCCAGAAGTCGGACCGTCCGGACAAGGTCGGCTCTGGTACGGACTCTAATCCAGCGGTAGTAATCAGTTTGTCATTTCTCTCTCCCGTCAAACGATCCAAAAAATGTTTTGAAAGAACCGTGATCCCGGCCGCAAGAAAGAAAGTCAAGACTGTCCGATAGCCCAAGATCCATAATTACAGCCCACGCCGACCTTCCTCGCAACGTACCCGTGCAACCCGCCCACCGCATTCCAATCCTCTGACACACGCAGCCGTGTGTAGATCCCCCCGTGGCACTGTTTACGGACTCGGCGACTCGGAGAGCGGGCGCAGCAGCCGGTGTTAGTACTAGTACGGGCTTGTGCCGACCCGGCCCCCAAAAAACCCACCTACCTACGTGATCGGGCGCAGTCTTGACAACCTTACGTACGTAACCACAAGATCCGTAGAGGCTAAGCTCCGAGGAGGAAATTTTGCGCCCCCGGATCTTCCCTCGATGATCGGGGATATGGGTTGTGTGGATGTGGGTAGGTAGATTGGTGCTGTTGTGTTTGTCCTCGCACTGTGGATTAGATCGAGGTTGGACCATTGGATAAGATTATGTAGGAGCGGTCGCCGACGTCGAGGTTCGGGAGCTTGGAAACGTTGTCTATGGATAGTCAGAGTGACAGAGGTGGAACTTTGAATAGGGGGCGATTCGTTGAGGACGGATGTTATTATCATGTATCACGCGATGATCGGCCGGGTGGGCTTTAGAAGTGGGGTGGGGTGGGCACGGGGGATTAAGTAAGCGGATTGTGGCACCGCGGGGTAAGATGGACCCGATTTGGCCCCGATGATTAATGTAGGGTAGGGTCGGGGTGGGAAGTTGGCTAATCCTACGGACCGTGATCTTGAGGCGAGGTTTTTGGAAAGCCTTGCCACTCGAATTACAACTTATACGTGCGTGAATATCCCGCCGACGCCCATCGAGGTGTTGTTGACGTGGTCAGATTTGTATTGGATTTTTGATTGGTGGAAGAACGGACTGCCAGAATATTTGGAACAATGTCAGACTAGCATTTTCAATCAATAGCTGAAATACACCAGACGGTTCTGGGCCGTCTACGGAATGGATTTTCAAACTTGCTCGACTGGATTGGTACACTATCGATCTCAGGGGAACAGTCCGACGGACCGGCCGGGACCATTCGGAGCGTTGAAGCTCGAAAGGGAAAAAGCAGTATACGACAATGTAGAACGGCGGCGAGCCCTTCGACCGACTTGCAATCATATCCGTCCACCCTGGTACTTGCGGAGCTGGAGGCATGAGCATCCCATGTGCGTCTTCCCTCTCTTCGGCGTTGCTGACTTCCAGCGTCGTTCTTCCTCCAACATTTCCACTCCCACGCTCCGGATTCATAAATCAGTAGCTTTGTCTTCTCATCAAGCCAGCAAACAGATATCACTGGTGCAGGCTGCGGCTTCTTCAACGCTGGCGGGCATCCCTGGCCGATATCAGTTTGTGTCCACCGGACCTCAAGCTTATCAGTGCACATTACCCGTGTGTAGAGTGTTTTCCAAGAATCCAACCGCGGTGGTTGGAGTCCCTGATTTTTTTCCGCTTTCGATTCCCATGTCCCTGCCTGACCCCATCAAGGCTGATAAAAGATTCCGAATCCGCCCTCATGCATCGCCCTTCCGTCTTGAATTTCCTTCACATCCCGATCCAACATCCGACTCGGCGGCACCACGGACAGCGACCTCGGCTCTCGGTCGAAGCAAGCACTCGCGCTCACGCTCTTTTTCGTCTCCCTCCATGCCTGGATCTCCGCGGCAGGGCTGGTCCTGTACGTGATGTTGCACTGCTCTTCGGACCCCGGCGAGTCGGATGCCGAGTCGGGGATGAAGGGGCGGAGCTTGGGGAGGATGTACCAGAGCTGGTAGATGGCGGTGAGTTGTTCGATGTTGGACTGGAGGAATGTTTTGGCGGGGGTGTTGTAGAAGGACTCGATGTTGGCGTCGATGTCGCGGCGGATGCTTTGGAGGGAGGTGATGAGGCTGGGAGGAAAGAGGGTCAGCGTTTTTTGGCGTCATTGACGATTGGGTCGGAGGAGGAGTGGAAAGGTCCTTGTCGTACGATGGAGGCAGGCAGCAATGGGACGGAATACTCACTCCTCGATGCTTTGCAAGGTAGTCGCAGCCGACACGGGATCATCTTCGTATGGAGAGGTCTGCTGCAGCTCGTACTGCTTGCGTTGAAGGCTTCCGAGGAGATTCCCCGCTAAGACTTGCAGGAATCTCGAGTCGGCTAGCGCTTCGTCGAGACAGCGCTCGTATTCAAGAGATGGGGAGGGAGTCATTGCGAGAGTCTTGATTGTTGCCATAGTCAGGAATGAAACGACGGTGAGGGAAAATGATGGTTGGATTCCGGGGGTTTTCTTTTATCGGAGAGGTGAAAAAGGACGAAGTGAGGGAGTAATAACGGTGGCCTCAGCATGAAAACAAGAATCCAGCATGATTTCGGGCCATGGAAATGGCAGAAGAGGCAAAAAAGACAGCATAAGCAATAAAAAACATTCCAAATAAATGCAATTCAAATGCGACCAGCCGACAAGATTCCATGATATCACACCAACTCCCACGTGCATACAATGGAGCCTACATGAGCCTTACATGAAAAATCTACATAAGTAGCGAGAATGTTGCATACATCAGAACCAATAATTAATCTCACTTCAATCGACACTTTCAACCCTAACTGATCCATGACTAAAGTAGACCATCTGCAGGCTTCCCCCGGCCGAGCTCGGACGACGACTTGGTTGGCCGGCCGATGCGCTCATCCCTTCCCTAAATCCTGCGATAGGCCGGAGATAACAAGGAACACGACAAATAAATTCTAATACACTTTTTGCATGCACGCACGACGCGCATCGGCACTCGGGGTCGCCGTTGTCGTATTTTGCCATGCGAATCCATTTCATGTAACCAGTACCGGACCCGGCAAATTCTCAGCCACACACGACCCACACAACCTTTTTTTCCATCCACTGCCCGTGAATTATGATTATTGATGATTGAAGGAAAAGGGAAAGAAAGTTGGAAGTTCCGGTGGGGGGGATGGGGAACCTCGGGTTCGGGGATCCTTGCAGAATGTAAGGTGCACGCTTGGACACGGCTGAAAACGCGAGCCGGTATGATTGGCGCAGATCACATCTACATGGGTCAGAGGGTGCAGGATCGAGTGGTGATGGGACCCTGGGCCCTTCCCTCAGAACTGGCACCATTATTGTTTCCCAAGCCCATCATATTCATGGGCCCGACATTAATAGCTGCAAGCCTGCAACCTATAGTTTATTTTATTTACTTTAGTCGATATTGGTTGACAGGCGCCCCATATGCGACGATTTGGGATATATCTCCGGGCCCGTGCATTCATTTTCGGGGGCTGGGGGACTTTTAGCTCGCCCGTGCGTTTGTTTGGCTTGGCGATGACTGCGGCTCGAGCCGATAGCGCTGCGACATGACAGGCCACTAGGATGCATGCGCAGCTAAGGGTAAAGTAAAAGTAGAGTACTTCAGATGCGCCCATTCGTGGCAGCCGGCGAGAGCATGCCGCTACTCTATTTCCGCTGCCTTTGGGCTGATCTCTATCCCTCGAATCGCACTAAGTCGTACGATCAACAGATGAGCAGTATGTACGAGTACGAGCTACATCTCGTACCAAGACGAATTGGCTTTAGGATCGTCTATACCTTGGACGGGTTGCGTGCGTGCTATGATTGACACGTCCATGAAGATCGGATACTCGTAAGGAGGCGACGACTCGTTGAGTCCCGTCAACGGGCTTCCTTTGTGCGAGAGAGTACGAAGGCTGAGTGAAGAAGCCCCGTATTGAAGATGCCCGTCAATGGTACCTGTAAATGATTAGTGAACGGGCGAGAAATGGTCGCATTACGAACCTGATAGAAGGCGAGCTGCCTCGGTAGATAGTGGTCATCAATCGACCAGGTGGCGGCCCCCTTCACGATGTTCCAGCAATGAAGTTGAATGAACGAAATTCTTCACTGTATGTGATAATACGGACGGTGTTTTGCAAAGCCCAAGTTGCTAGGTAGGGTTAATGGAAAGAGCGGGGTGCCGAACACGGTAGCCGATCGGGTTAAGGCTGGAAGTGCCATAGCCTTTACGGCGGCCACGACAACAGTACAATCGTATGGGGAGCTTTGCATACTTTGATATCTCTCTTCCTCTCCTCAAGCATTCCGAAGACAAATCGTGTCTGCGTAGGCATTCAAGTCAGATGGGAAAGCCAATTGTTGAAATTTGCTAGTCTACACGCAGCTACCTTGCAGATTCCGGGAGAACCGCCGCGATCCTCCGTGGCTGTCAAGGCTCTCCTGCGCTCTTCATCCATTCTTATCCGTGCAAGCTAGCAGGAAAACCGTTGCACCACCTGGATTGCCTACCACGACAACCACATCCTTCGCGTCTTGCCAACCTGACCCCATGAAGAGAGCTTATACAGCTGGTCGGGGGCTTTCCGCTCGCGGATCAGAGGTAGCATGTCCGCCAGACTGACCCCTTTCCCGGACCCTTTGACTTCCAAGCAAAACTCATGAGCCATGAACTGCCAGAAGAAGAGTTCTCCACAGTTGGGACATCGATGGTTGAGTGGGGACTGGTACAGGTCTTGTCGCAGAGAGCCGAGGCGTGTGATCAGATCATTCCAGTGTTTGGCAGAGATCGGGGACTTGGGCAGTCGACGGGACCAGAGATCCCCCTCCAGGGCACCAAGCTGGAAGCTGATGCGTAGCTCGGTTCGATGCTCGTTGGGGCAATAGTACATCAGCCATCGCAACGCTTCCATCATCTGCTCAAACTCGAGGAGGTTCAAGGAAGCCAACTTGTCGTAGGGTAGTGGATCGGTCGGTCCGCTTGCAAGCGTGTGGATGCGGTACCAAGCTCGCAGGAATGATTTGCGCTGGGCTTCGGTCAAGCTGCTGGGGCCTGGAGTCTGAACAGAAAGACGTGCGATCATCTGAGTTTCGTAGTGTCGCAAGGCCAGGCATGCAATCTCTGCATTTCCACAGAACTGCTTGGTGAGGTTGATGGCCAGCAGATCCGTGTCTCGGATCTGCTCGGAGCTAGTGGCGTCCGGTGGCTGAGCTTTGACATAGTCGAAGGCTTGATCATAGCACGGAATCGTGCGGACGAGGACGGCATAGCAGATCGAAGGCGAGTGTGTCTTCCAGATCGAACGGAATCTGCGGGACGTGCTGCTCAGTGCGGTAGCTGTTGCGAAGCTGTCGGTGGACTTGAATATCTGGGCGAGGAGTTCGGTGGGTATCGCTGGCAGTGAGCTCGTAGACATGTCTGAGTTGAGTGAACATTGGCTGGAATAGATCTGATGTGGAAGTGTCAGTCTTTCGATCAAGAAAATATGACTCGGGATTTCACCGGATCAATTGTGTTGCCAATTTCTGCTCAGCCGAAATGTCGGCCGGTGCTCTCAAGATAAGCATTGATGCTGTTGAGTAAGTTTGACCAAGTTTCACCCAATGAATATTCGAACCTGATGGGGCGTGAAAAAGACAAAGGCTCGGTTTCTCCCTAGCGCAGTCTTGAGTGAGTGGAAAAGAGAAGGATAAGAATACGACAAGCCATAATCTACAGAACTCAATTACAACACGCGACTCCGATCTTCAAGCTCACTACCTCGCCACAGAAGCATGGCAATGAAGGCTTAAATATCTGCTAACTTTTCTACTAGGTCATACACGCCGGCTAGAAAAGCGTCCACCTCTTTCCAACCTCAGGTCAACATCATGCCTCCATGATCTCTGTCCCCCCATGACACCTTCTCCATCTCGGCAACTTCTTCGCGAGACATCGATGTTGCATACCGCGCCCGATAGAAAAAGCTGGCCTCAGCTTCCCAGCACCTCGATCGTCCAAATCCCCACAACCACCCCCACCGAAAGCATTCCTCCACTGACCCTGCGCCTCTTCGCCCAGCTCGGTCGCCAAGTATCTGATCTCGGCTGAATTGTCAGCTCACCTTCCTCAAACTTTGCAAACGTCCTTTGCCTAGGCGAAGGCGGCGAAGAAGAAGAAGCTTTTTCACTGGGGCGTGTTGGGGTCGATCATGGGGGTAGACCCTTGAGGTAACAGGAACGGTAACGGCGGAGATAGGTTCAGAGGATATTATGAGGCCTAGAGGGAACGGTTTCGATGGGCTAGAGGAAGTTCACAGGTCATTGCTTTTGCATTCTTCACCCACAGCCCAAGCTGTCGCGGCGTATCTTCAAAGCACGAGATACGTTATGTATCACTGCTTCCTCCCCTCCCCTCCCCTCCATCAATCTGAGTCACGAGCCTTCCACATGCTTCAAACGACGGCCCGGCTGTTGCGTGCGACCAGTCTCACTTTCTGGTCTTCCCACACCTGGTGTGCTTGTCTGACGTCGAAGGAAGTCCCGAAATCCCGGCCAATACTCGATACACGCCTCATTTCCTTCTATCCTACTGGAACTGCGTGATCGTATCGTGCTGCGTGCTCCTCGTTCCTGCCGCTGATGAAGTCTTTGGGACCTCGCATTGAGCAGAGAATGCCGCGGGACGCCGCTCGAGTGGGCACAAATCCCACGCATAGGTTCTGCCGGTAGGAATCGGTAGGTCCTAAAGGCCCGATCGGGTTAGAGACTATCGTTGCGACAGGTGTTGGTGGGAGGCTTTTTTCTTCGTCTATGATGACGGGTTCTCCGGACGAAGGGTAGGTCACGCATACCTTGTCGCCTTACCACCACGGCACCGCGTCTGACGAGGAGGTTTAATCTTGTGCTTGCTCGGAACCTCCATGAGAATGTCTTCGCTGACGTTGTGTTTGCTTGTCCAGTCTCGATCGTAGGGCCGTCCCTCTGCTGACGAAAAGATTTCGTGTATCCAAGCATCCGTATCGATGATCCCTAGGCTGGAATTGGGACTTGGCTTGGGGTAAAGGGCGGCTGATGGGCCGAGGACTGGAGTCGATGTGTTGACAGAGATGGGAGCTGTTCTGCTCGGAATAGGAGCGGAGGAGTGTGGTGGGATAGAAGCATTGGAAGTCAATGAATGTGTCTGCGCATCGTTCGTGAGGTCATCATCGGGAGTAGTGGAGGAAGTCAAGGTAGTAGTGTCAGAGGGCCGATCTGCTAGGACAGTCCACGAAGGAGTCAATGGAGCTCCGATCCCAAGATAGAAATGGTATGAATTGCTAGGACGCACCCATCGTCCTGGCGGAAAAAGAGACTGTCTATTACCATGCATACTACTATCAGAGAACGCCCTTTGTGCAAACTCGGGTGGGATCTTACTGCATTAAACGCTTTCACTTCGAGGCAGAACTTCCCGAGTGAGACGACCAGAGTTGTCAACTTCGCTGAAGTCTGGTAGGGAAGAATCAAGCTCGGCTACCGACGCCTGAGAGCTCTGGAGAATCAAAAGGTCCGCACGGAGCGTCCACTCCATGCGGCTTGCAGTTCCGCAAGGCCGGTGGCACCACGGGCGACGAGGATAACCTTAGCTGTGTTCGCTTATGTCCAGGTGGGCACCTTCTTTAAGTTGTTGAACAGCGTGTGGTAAGTACATGTTTATTCAACTTCGCGATATTGTTGTAAACGTAGTCGGTCGCGTCTGGTGGGAACGATTGATGATGAGATGTTGAGGTGTTGAGGCGGTTTTAGAAACGTCAGGATTGATCCGCGTCACACATGGAAAAACAATCGATCACGAACGTGACGGTTCCCCTGCGTTCTGAGGCGTTCTGATCACTCTCAACATTTCGAGCATCGTCGACCTCACCCGTACCAGAACGGCGAAACTGGTCCGCCCCTTTTGATAACCAGATCCTTGCGTACTTGCGTTGCTCTCGTGGTACTCGGAATCATCAGCATCTGGAACAGAATGCCGCTCGGTTGGTTGGTTCTTGATAATCAGTTCTTGTGGCGTTTAGGCTGCTCTCAAGATACGGAGAATCATCACCGTCATCTGCATTCTGGCAGAGAAGAGAGAGATCCGGATGTGAAGGCCGTAGAGTCATCCCTCACAGTGGCATCGAGCGCGTCGAGCGTACTGGCATCCGGTAGAAACGAGCGATCAGGGACGTCTTTATCCTTATCAGGTTTTTGAGTGGGTTTAGTCGTCTCCGTTCTGGTGCCCGAATCTTCGATTTGTTGGAAATAGAAGGTGCTGTAAAGGATGGATGTGATGCGCGTGTTGCGGTCGGACTGTTAAGATTTTGTGCGAACGGTCACAATGCTTGACTGCTAATGATATTGGGAATAGCATTGGGATTCTGTTTGGAAGAAAGGATTCCTACGAGGTATCTCACATACTTGTCTTCTGCAAAGCAGTAGTACTCCATATCCTTTCTTATCTTCTCCAGAAGTCAGGGATTTATATGTTGTATTGCTTCTCCTTGTCGTGCCGAGCGTGCTAGGTTAATCTTACACATAATCTCTTAATGCTCTACAAGAGTCTCTCATCTCTTTGCTCATGAGGCAATAGGCCTTGCAGCGGCCTACATAATTTTACCTACTAACCCACAGCACCGGAGTCGCCTCACTGCCCCTCTTCACAGGCAGTCAATTGCTCTGGAGGGAAGCATCTTTGGTGGGAATACCCCTATCTTGTCTACAGGTTCCACCTCTACACCGAGTCTCATCTTTCCATCATTCAAACATCCTCTACTTGTTCTCTACAAGTTTAAGCAACCACGCGTGCTATCATCCACTCCTTGCTCGTTGCTAGCAGCACGTTGAACCCTAATTGTTTCCGCCCTGGCCGATGTCGTATCAAACGCCATCCTTCCGCCATTGGAGACTCCATTCAACATCCATCGTCCTCGCGCCGGTAACTGAGTGTGAGTGATAGCTTGCCCTTTCACCCAGATCGCGCACAGAACCTAACATTTAGATATCTGGCATGGGTACGATATCAGAAATATTGATCAAAGGTCATGAAGAGAGGCGACATTTCGCAGGTAAAAGCGTTGAGTCTCGCAACGTAACGGATAGGCAGGTTGTCGACTAAGAATGATAAGATGAGGAGAAGAGAGAATGGCAGTTGAAGGCGTTGGGCTTCAATGTTTGTACGTCGAGTTTGGGCTTCGTACCCAAGAGAGACCTGGAAAAGGGCCACAAGTTGAAGGTTGAACAGGGTATGATCCTCCTCATCGATGTAATTTTGGCATCGGTCCAGATTTAATATGATCTAGGAATTAGTATTAAGACTGCTAGGGTGGAATTTTACCCTAAAGCAGTATTCAGAATCAGATCGACTATCATACGGCACATCGACTTGAGAGAGCCGAAATTAGCTATCATTTTGACTACCCATACCACCTCAATACTCAGTACTCTGTTCCAAGACATGTAAAGAGAAAGTGCCCGCCTTCCCAAGGTCTTGCACACTATTACGACGTTCCGCCTTGCAGGTCCAGTCTAGCAGCAGGTGTTACATAGAGCCCGTCGGAATATACCGCAGACAAAGGTGAAACGGCGACAGCAATTCCAGCACACCTTACTTTCCGAGCCAGTATAGCTCCCTCGCGCTTTTTGACCCCAGGCGTCAGGATCCAACTCAACACGAAGTTGGCAAGTGGGCCGATGGAGAAGAATGCTAAAGTAGCTAAAGCAAAAGCATTCCCCCAAAACCCCCCGAAAAACGCCTTCATTTCATCGTCGCTCTTCTTTTTCCTAGCCGCTGCGTCTGCCGCTATTGCTTTCTCAGTCTTCGCTATGTGTTCCTCGGTCTTCCTTATATGGGCTGCGTTCCATCGAGGTTGGCGACTCTGCTTATCTGCTTGCAAGCCTTGCCTCCAAGCCGTCAGAGCTTGCTTGAGACGATCCGCGCGCCATTCTTTGTTGGGGTTGTATTTGAGTCGGAATCCGATGCACGCTGCCATCATGACGTCGCGTTGTTGTGGTGTCAATCGTGGCAGAGCATCTTTCGCGTCGAAGCGCAGTTCATCTTCCCATCTGCGCATGTATCGTATGAGTTCATTGGAAGGCTGACTTCTTCTGTACAGCTCCCAGTGGGCGGGGAAGCGTGATGTGGCGGCATTGAATGTGGCCGCCGAGTAGGTAAAGCAACGATGGAACTCGAGCGCTCGAGTTATCCCGCAAATTTGGAAGCGGAACGACGAGGAAGGTAGTAACGTTTGATGAAGTATTTTAGATCGTGAAAAGAGATCTTGATACGAGCGGCTCTGTTGGCTGAAGATTGACCTTGATATCATTCGCAGAGACACAGGACGAGAAAGCATGGTGCTTGTGGGCGTACTCAACTAACCATTTATGCGTACGACAACATATCTTAATCAAAGGAGGGGGACGGCAGGGCAGGAGCAGCGCGTCACAGCAGGAGAAAAAGAGTTGGATACTTGGCCTTATCCTTTGAGATTTTTAGATCTATGTGATTAGCGCGCAGAGCTGAGCCCGACAGGCTGGCACCTACTATCGCATGTCTCAGAAAAGATTCCATATGCAGCTCGCTCAATCAGGTTCGTAACGTAAAGAGTTCACTGCCGTCTCCCGAAGCAACAAGCAAGCCAGCCTTCAGAAGGGACAAACAAGGAACTGTCTTTTTAAGAGACCGTCGCGAATCTATTCTTTGACATACGAACACCGATGCATATCCATATTGTTTGTAATGTAGAACATAGTAGGGGTGCTCGCGACGCCTGCAAGGGAGTCTTGGTGTGACGCTAGAATTTTCCTGTCCGAGACTAGCTCCATTGATCCGCCCTGAGCAAGAGCGATCTCTTTCTTCACAGGGACACAGTATGATCATGACAGTAGTGGTGTTTACAGATACATGTATGGAATGAATTCATGTGGTGGTGCCCCGCAAACTGAGAAGCCTGGGCGCCAAGACGGCTAAGGGCGGCTAGAGTCGGCCAGCTCTGCTGCCTGTGCTTGGCAGTCTTGCCAATTCCTCACAGCTTCAACAATCAGGCTATTCTCTACGACCCTGTTGACTGCAACTTCGAAGCGGGATCCTGGAAACCATGCGTGAAATCTCATCTCCGGGGGCTGCCTTTGTCCGTCATAAGCTACTCTACCCTCACGCCTGGCTGCAAAGAGCACCTGTCGAGCTTTAAGCCATGAAGAGCATGGGCCAATCTTTACGAGGACGTCGAATAATCTGAAGGCTATGAGCAGCAGCACAACAACGGCTTTGCGGGGTTCGAACCCTCACGCCAGCCGCTCATGCCCTCCACTGGCCCACAAGTTTCCTCTACAACCCCGCTCCAATGACGCGTCCTCACCAAAAATGGCCCCGAATCTTGCTGTCTGCGACAATCCACAAGCCTCACTGTCGTCCTCTCTCAAAAGCAGCCATATACCCTTCTTATATCAACAAGAAACGTGCAAGTAGTGTGGAAAAGGCTTATGCGCAGCAAGGTGCGGAAGGCAGGGTTTAAGAGGCGCGATATAACTATTTGGATGCTGGATGCCGGAAGTGGACTGAATTAATGGACCCACAAGCTAAGCGGGCGAAACAAGGAAGCTTCTGCCGGAGCTTCAGCATCTTCGTCAGCCCTGACTACTGATGCTTGCTGCGTCTCGTCCAATTGGGACCTGTTCATGTTTGAGCCCAAAGACACTAGGCTCGGGGGGCTCGACAACTTGCAGCATTCCTTGAGGGTGTCCGGGCGAACATGCCGAGTACGAGGAAAGGTTCCAGCGCATCGAGCGAGGGGAGGTATTACTGGATGCATTTCATGGAAGTACAACTAAACGTTGTTCATGGGAGTGGGGATCCTCTGTAAGGCTTAAAACTGCAGAGAGATGACAACTACGAATGGACGGATGGTCGCGTACCGTTGTTGCATACGATCCCCGACGATCCTAGGCCGTTCCTCCCTGGAAGGTCCTGGAAGGTTCGAGGCAGGTACTGTCGATCCTCTCTCAATTCGGCATCTTATGTCTCAGCCGTCCATGAATTGGGATTCTGCGTTGGATACACTCTTCGAACCACTTTCGGTATAGGTGAAGAGATTGCAACTACCTAGTCAAGGAGGCCTGACCGTCTGCAGTCTTAGGAAATATCCTCTTCTTCCCAAGTCTTCGGCCTTTCCACAAGCCACATGCGCACGGGCATGGGGACTAGTCATTAGCATGTTGGACTGGAAAGATCAGCATCGGTCAGACACGGTCAAGACTTGACGGAAGGCATATTGTTCTGTCAGTCTTACGCTCAAGCGTCTGGCACAATTGCTGCTAGGAACAAAAACCATGTTCAACTCAAGCATAGATTCGGACTTTTAATACGATTCTAGGAGTTTAAAAGACATCTCGTGATGGAACGAGGCTGAAAGGACTTTTTAAGTTGGCGCTGACAGGGCACTAGAGAGACCATTCAGTGTTAGCGCTTCCCCGCAATGTGTCCAAAACGTCCGAAACGGCCGTGCTAGGAACTTTCCTGCCTATCTTTTTCGACACCGTCTTTTCAGCTTTGACATTTCGCTACGCAGATTCGATTTCAGGGACTCAGAGATCGATCCCTGGGCCAGATGCGATTTGAATGTCCCTTCTTACATCTGTATCTTCAGACCCACCAGTATCTGCAGCTTTTCGCTGGTTATTCAATGATCCCGCTCTTTTGGTTTCCTTCGCTGTCACCTTCTGCTCTTCGTTGGCACATCTCGACTTCTGTAGGAATGCTCTGGTAGATTTGGTTCTTTGCTCTCATCGTGTCAGACTAGTATAGTAAAGTAGTACATGGATGTTCGCTAGGAACATCTTCCCAAGCTCTGCCCGTCCGAGCTTATCCAGTCAGTAAGCAGATCAGTTACCCTGCTAACAATATGTTGGAAAAACAGACGACATAGGTACCATTGGGTTCGTGGACTTGTAGACGATTCTGGTACTTGTACTTGTCCAGCCAATTCTGGATCAATTCTAGGTTACCGGTCTCTTGTTCTTCAGACCCTGAAACTTTGACCACCTTGGATACCTATACGCTCTAGAGTTCTCATGCAACACGAATATTGGATTCCACTAGCATTGAGATTAGCGAATACATCTATTGCAGTCGGGATACCGAGCTGTGAAGTACTTTATCTGGGACGGAACTTCATTCATGATTGGCTCCCGAAGCGGGGTACCAGCGCCTGTGCGCAAATAAGATCCCAACAAGTAGGGAAGGCTGGGTTCAGTGTTGAGTCTAACGAATAAGCTTGTGAACCACGCGGGTTGGAGATGAGCTGGACCGCCAATCCAGAAATTCGTACACCGCGTCAACACCAAGCAATACTATGGCGATCAGGGTAGGAGCAGATGTGCCCAGACCGTGTGCAGAATGTCGCATATATAATCTCCGACTTTCAGCTGTCGGGGAATTGGATCCTTCAAAGATCCCGAAGATCAATTTGAGTACCATCTCTATCCATTCGTTTCCTCTCCTCAATGGCTTCAATCCTAGACCAGCCTCTCATTTTAGGCGAGAACCTCTCCCTGGACCCTCTACCACAACAAGCCCCTACCGCAACATCCCCAACAGTCCTGATAGTAGGCGGAGGTGTCACCGGTCTCATCACCGCCTGGGTCCTCCTCGATCGAGGTTACCATGTCACGGTCCTTGCCTCACGCTGGGCTTCCTTCACCGACGAGCAACGGCTAACATCTCAAATCGCCGGCGCGTTGTGGGAATACCCCCGGCAGTCTGTGGTCAGCACACTGACGCAATCTCCCTAAGCAACTCAAAGCGTTGGTGTATGGTCGCTTACAACATCTGGGATGAAATTGCCTCGGACCCTAATCGCGCGGCTATATCCGGCGTCCAGATGAAGGGCTCAAACTTTTTCTTCCCATGTCCGCTGGAGGAAGATTCCAAGCAGCTTCTAAAGATGCGCGAGATCGAGAGTAGTGGCATCCGCGGCTTTAATCGTGCCCCTAGTTTAATTCAGAGGCAGGGCATCGATCCCAGGTATGGAGCTGTAGATGCTT